TTGGGATGGACACGGGCACCAGAGCCAGGCTGTAGAACACCTCTGGCTGCTTGCTTCCCAAGGCAGCTTCCTGGGGCACCAGGTGTTCTAAGGCCAGCCTCCCTGACCTCACCCCCCAGCTCCCTGCCTAGCACTGTATGATGCACTGGACTTCGGTCTTCTTGCCTGGAACATGGGAACTCTCTCACTTTTATGAGGACCTACGTCTTACAATCATGAGTACCTGAGCTGAGCACAGAAAATAGGCACAACAGACAGAGTGGCAGCCACACTTGAAAACAATTCTGAGAAATAAATTTTTGTAGCAATGCACAAATAGAACACACAGACACACATCTATACGCATATGCACTTGCTCATTACAAACATTCATATATTGCACACATGTATTTGTAATTTACTAAACACAATTAACTAGCTGGTTAATTGGATGCAAATCTCCTTGTGAACTTCAGTTTCCTTACCAGATAGACATATGGATAAACAGACTCTACCCGTGAGATACTTTGGCCAGCAAAGCAAGCTCCTCAAGGCTGTGCCTCTGGTAGTGATAACATAGCAACCATATCTCCTTTCCTTTCAGTACCTGGCCCAGGGCCTGGCCCAGAATGGGAACACAAGAAATATTTCTTCATCAAGATGTCAGCAGGTAAATGGTACCCAAGGCCATCCTGACTAGATTCCAGCTGTCTGCAATGGTCGTACACTTCCTCTGATCACAAGGCCTTCAGCCTTTCCCACCTAGCCAGAATCCCCCTCACATTTTGAGGCCCCACCATGCTGCCACTTCTGCCTGACCCCTGCCCCACATTGACTGTTCTCAGATAACCTCCACCTTGGGGCCAGACTGTGACCCCAAGTTCCCAGCAAGTTTTATTCCGGTTCAAGGAACAGGTTATAGAACCTCCAGAGTTCTGTATCCCATGATGTTTTAGCTTCTATGAGTTCCTGGTCAGGTTACTGACCCTTTCTGAATCTGGGCTCCCTGTCTGGGAAATGGGTGTGACTCAAGGCAGTGACAGTGAGGACTCACATCCCATCTGCCATGTTCCCACAATGTAGACAGCTCTCCTCTCTCCATGGCCTCCAAGGTCTTCAGAGATTGGGCATACATAGGGGCTGGGTGGCTTCCACCCACAGAAGAGGGAGGTGGGCTTCCCTAAGTGATAGCATCACCCACTTTTTGCCTGGGTCAGCTTCCCAACAGAGTGACAGAGAAAGCAAGCAGGGCTCAGGTGACTGACTGGTCACATGCCTTGCACTGAACATCCTGCTTTCCGTTTCTCAGCCAGCCCCTACTTTACAAAGGGCAGAGTGATCACCCACTCAGGCATGACTCCCCTCTACCCCCACTCCCGGGGAATCTGTGGTTCTTTCAGCACTGACTCAATGGGCAAGATCTGGCTCTACCTGGATGCTGGCATTCAGAGACACAGCTGCTCAGGACTCTGACTGAAGGCAAGAAATCCAGGTCCTCACCAATCCCCTCCACTACCTTCAGACATCTGCTGGCTGGAGGTCAGCTTCTATCTGTGCACAGAGAGTGCTGCTAGCTGGCCCGTAAGACAACTGCATGCTTTACATAGAAGTATCACCTGTGTGCTGGATGATTAGGTACCAGTGATGTTTCATGACCAAGAAACAGAAGCACAGAAGGGACAAGGCTTGCTTGGGGTCACACAGCAAACAAGAGGCAGAGGTGAGATCCAACTCTTCCGCCCAACCCCAGCATAGCCCAAGACAGGAAGCAGCCAGATCCTCTTATGAAGCCCTGATGTGTGCCTTGGCAGCTTCTCTGTGGGACTGAGGTGAATCTTCCCAGCTGTCCAAACACATAGTACAATGGCACCCATTTCACAGACAGGAAACCATGGGTCAGAGAGGTAGGTGACTGCCTAAAACCATACCCTTGGGCCAAGAGAGAGCTCCAGTTTTGAACCTGGGCTACAGGAAATCCACAGCACCTCTTTCTGCCCTTGCTTCTCCACATCCAAAAGAATCTAAAGCTGGGAGTCCTCCCCAGCAGGGCAGAGTCACATCTCCTAAATGAAGCTTTGCCTTATTGCCCAGATGAAGGTCCAGATCCAGGAGTAGGGGACACAAACCAAAGCTCTGCACTTCACGCCATGGCCCCACTGCCTGGACATCCCAGTATGTTTGAGAAGAAATGTCCCATCTGGTTTTTATTCACTTATACTTAATTAATCAAAATATTATTTTATAAGAGACAATTGAGACCCAAGAAACTTTCTCAAGCCTTTTCTCTCATTCTAGCCTTAGAAACAAAAGAATTGGGTTTCATCTAATAAAAATAATTATTTAATTTTTTTGAAAAACTGTGCTGCTGGAGCCCTAGGAAACACAGGTCTGTGACAGCCAACCCCAGCCCACTGGCTCAGCCCAGGGGAATTCCTCTTGCCCCTGCACACCTGGCCAAAGGCTTAGCCAAGGACAAGGTGCTGGAGTTGTCTCTCCACACTGCTGCCACTCAAGGGCAGGCCAGATCTATTGTCTAGGCACCCCCTGGCCCCCATACAAAGTCTGGTAAGAGAGCTGTCCAGTATCACTTGAGTGAGCAAATCAAGAATGAATGAATGAATGAATGAGGCACTTCCAATCCGGGATGTGTTTAGGACACATTCTCCTGCTAAATTTAGATGAGAAGGTCAAAGATGGCAGAACCCTTGGGAATTTTGTGTAGGTATTTCCAAGCAGATGCTTTCCTAGAAACAGCCTCTGATGACAAGTCTGGGGAGACTTGTATTTTACTCCACCTTTCCATATGCTCTGATAAATCCTACAAGCAAGTAGTGCTAAATCCAAAACACGCCAAATCTGTTTGTCTAAGAAGACTATGGAATTCCTTGCAGAACACGCTATAGGAAAGGTTTGTCTAACCTCCACACACCTCCAGTACTGGTGGGGAAACTGATGCTGGGTAAGGGCAAGGAAAAGACCCACTCACCCAGTCACAGAGTGCCACAGGGGCAGGAATGAGACAAAATGCAAGGCTGTTTCCACAGCAGGTGACAAATCAACAGAGCAGTAAGACTCTCTTTGAAAATGCCTGTGTGCTGAGGCACAAGATTAGATATGCTGGAGTGGGGAGGGGCCACCAAGAGCCCCTCACCAAACTGGGGAGTCGAAGGAGGACAGGGGGTAAGGGCAGGCACTTTTCATATCTTTTCCTCCTCCTTGTCTTTTTAGAACTGAAAAGCATCCTGAAAGTCTTCTAGTCCAGCTCATGAACATATGAAACATTGAGGTTTGGGAAGGGAAGAACAACACAGCTTGTGAGACTAGGATTCCAACCTGCTCTGCTACTCACCTGCTGTGCAATATTAGACAAGTTAGTTCCTATCTCTGAACCTGTTTCCTGATCGGGAAAGTAAGTGTCTCCCTTTACCTCTGCTAGGCCCTTATAAATAAATGACACAGCGGACAAGAAACATGGTGGATTAATACCGAGGCACTCGTTTAACACACAGATGAACTCATTTAGCCTTGCTCAGTGTCTTCCTGATGAGTTGGAGATTTAAGATTTATTATTCCTATTCTTAAAATGAGCCAATGAGAAAAACATTTTTAAAATCTGTTTCAGAACTGAGAAATATCTTAGAGATTTTCTGAAAGACCTTCGGATGGGACAGGACCAGCAAAGTGATTGCCCCATGGTCACTTAGCTATAACTCAGGAAGTAGGGATTTCAACTCAGGGAGGCTGGTTCCAGAGCAAGTGATATGAACACTGACACCATGTTCAGGGGAACAAAGGCCATCCAGAGAGTGGCGCCCACAGAGTCTCCCAAGACCTGAAGACACCTGGAGCCACCTAGGGCCCTCCATTCTTGCTCCCTTCGCCTAGCCCCACAGAGCTGCAATCCCTTGGGTCATACTGCTGCCCCACTCCATCCCACCTCCCAGCACCTTGGCCTTCTGCTGTTTTCCAGGAGTGATCATGTCCACCTAGGACTTTGTGCACAAAGGGACCAGAAGGCCCCTGAGATCAGGCTGTACCTTCCCACTCTTTCAGACCAACATGACAGCCAGAGAGAAATCTCTGCATCTTCCTATCCACCTGTTGGATAACTTAGCCATCTACCTGTGTAGGACTCAGGGACCTTGCTTTATAACATAGGTCCCTGGTGAGAAGGTAGTGGAGATGAGACAGTGCATGGCACAGTGACCAGTCTTTGGCCATTGATTCTCAGACAAGCAGCCCAAAGCAAAGTGCTCACTGGTCTGCATGCTTTCCTCAGTGGCACAGGTTCTGCGAAATCTCACCCTGCAGGGCAGCCTCAAATCCACTGCCAGGGCAGTTTCTGATTGCCATAGTAAGGAACAGTGACATAGGATCCTAAAGGGAGAGTGCACAGGGTTCCTGGTACATAATAAGTCTGATTTTGATTCACTTTCCTAGTGGCCCTAGGTCCCAGTGGAAAAATCAGAGCTCTTGAAACAATTCTTCCAGGTTGTCCCAAGAATAAGTGAACTTGAACTAAGGTCTCTTGCTGGGCTCACCACAGAGGGCTCACATTACCTTCTGGGATGAAACACTATAAATTGGGGCAGTGGCCAGCTGGAAGCTGGATGTCAGACTTTCCAGATCGGGCTCTTGATGTTGCCTCCTGGCTCAGCCTAGATTCTTGGGATGGCTTCTAAGCCACTAACTCCATCTCCTAATCCCAGGCTGGCTCTTGAAACTTGTGTCTGAACAGAGGCACCCTCTCCATATTGCTGCTAGGAGACCTAGGGGCACTGGGAAAGACTTGGAGTCACTTTCCTGCTTGGACATCCTCCCTGGTCCAGTTAGCCCCATAGCTCTTTTACTGGATGTCCTGGAGCTTCAGTCTCCACATCTGTAAAACAGGATCTACGCTTATCTGGAGAAGTCAATGGGCTGGGCACAGAGCACCAAGCCCATGTCCTAAGACCCAGGGCAGGCTGTGCCCCACAGCATCCACCCGGGAACCCTACTTGCCTGTGAGTCTCATACAGTACCTTGCTTCTTCCTTCGGTACAAAGCAAGGATGTCCACCGCGTGGGCGACTAGCAGCAGCAGGCACAGTGGCGCCCGCATCTGGACAGCGTGGTCCGGGCCCTCGGAGACTCCCGGGCGGCCTACGGCGGCGCGGGGGCTGCTTGGGGTGGGTCCGGTGCATCCGCGGGGCGCAGGGGTCGGTGTGGCAGTGGGGAGTTGCCCTCAGCCCCTGGACTGGTCAGGTCGAGTGAGGGCAGGGGCGGCGCTGGGCATGGGCTGGGGGAGGAGCTGACGCGCGCGCAGGGGTGTGGGGGCGCGTTAACCCTTGCTGGGCTGGCTCTGAAGTGGTTGCCCGACCGAGTCCCCAGCTCTATCTTTCCTATCAGGCTTGTGTCAGTCCAGATCCCAAGGATAAATGCAGTCCGCGGTCCCAGGTACAGGCGCCTTTGCGCGCGCGCCCAGGTTAAGGTGCATGGGTGCTCAGAGACCCTCTTCTCAGTACCCTGTCCCTGCCTGTGGTTTCTTGTCTGTCTTCCCCAACCCTGTTTCCTCTTGGCTCCGTCTCTCCTGCATCTCCCACCACACACACACACACACACACACACACACACACACACACACACGTCCATGTACTACTATCTCTGTGCTTTCGCTTTCTTTGCAGAGGGTCTTGAGTCCCTGCTGGCCACTGATCCAGGATACTTCCTGCTGCAGCCTGTGGGGTGCCTCTACTCTCTGATTCAAAGTGTTCCGCACTTCATAAATTCACCTGTGACAGGAGTAAGGACCTGGACTGTGTTTCCTCCAACCTTGTCACCAAAACTAGAAGCATCTGGCTCCATTTTAACCCTTTCAGAGTCAAATCACTCCTCCAACTCAACTCAACTCTGCCTCCTGTTCCCCTACCCAACAATGATGGTGGTGGTGGGTTTTGAAGCCTATGTGCTTAGCACGTACTTTTCACTGAATATAATCTTCAAAACAAATCGGGAAGTTCCTAGTCTGATTAACCACACTTTTCAGGAGGTGAAGAGAGGAGTTCAGAGAGACCAAGTAACTTGCTTAAGGCCACACAGCAGATCAGCAGTCCACTGAGTCCCACACTACTCAGGACACAGTCTCACAGAAATAGTGGAACCTTGGAGGCCTGGAGGAACTTATCCTTGACGCTGTCTTGTTGAACAGTTGTCCTGCCCTTTTTTCTGCATGTGCTATGTGATCCAAAAGAGAAGGACGTTGTCTGCTGGTACCTCCTCCAGGTCCTCTCCCAATGCAGTGAGGGACACTTGAGGAGTGTCTGGGGCAAGCAGACTTAGCAAAAGACAGGTGACACAGGCAGACAATAGGGATCTTGGTGGAATGTCACAGCCTTTGCACCTCAACCCAACCCATCTCACAGATGGAGTCACCAAGTCTTTGAACCTGTAGGCCTGCTGAGTCTACGATAGAGCTGAGATGGGTGTATAGTGTCCCAGCATATTTTCATCATGTCCTGCCCAGCCCTACACTTCTGACATCCCAGGTCCCAGGTATGCCCTTACCTCACCCTTCCTCCTTGCAATATTTCACAGACCCCTTGGGCCTCCTGAGGCTTTCTTTCCTGATGTGGCTTCTCCATCCACCTTCTCCAGAGTACTACCATGCCCTCCTCCTTTCCTGATTACCTGGCCGGCCCAGTACTTACTATGGGAAAATCTTTAGTCAGAGCTCTGATCATATAGTGTGATAACTGTGAATGTCTCTGTCATCTCTCTAAACTGTCAATACTTTCAAGCCAGAGACTTGGTCATATGTGAGTCTCTGGAGCCCAGCACAAACTGGACACAGAGCTTGTGCTCAGTATGTTAGAAAGAAAGAAAGAAAGAAAGAAAGAAAGAAAGAAAGAAAGAAAGAAAGAAAGAAAGAGTGGATTAGTGAATGATTTCTCTCGTGCAAGAATTTCCCTGCCTGAAGTGTAATGCAAGTCCTTGGAAAAATGAGGTGACTCCAGAATAGCAACTCCTACTCCACAACTCTTAGCACTGGAGCCTCCAAATCCAGAGAGAGTAACTTCTGCGCATCATGAGTCCTGTTGAGGGTGGGGCTACTCCGTAGCAACACAACCCTGCAGGGTGCAGAGTGCAGCCCTCACCCCTTGACCAAGTTCTCCTCTACCCCCATCCCGCTCCCTTCTCCCTCTGCTCTGGCTATCTGGACTTCTTCTTGTTTCCTAGTCTCTGGTTCCATGTCTTTCTCAGGGCTTTGATGTTCCTCTCCCTGGAAAACCCTTTCCTAGATGTCTATAGAACTTGTTTCCTTACCACTTGGGCCTGTATCAACCTCCAAAGTACCAAGCAGCTCTGGCTTGCCACATTATATTGGCTGGCCTGTGACTTTCATGAGGCAGCAATCTTCTCTTTTATCCCTGGGTGCCTCACACATACAGTGATTATCAAATACTATGGAATGAATAAAAGAATAAATGCATGAGCACTCTCTTTCTCCTCAGGCTTTTCCTTCTCACATGGGCTATTTCTCCATTTGTTCAGTGGCATTATTGAGAGTTTGTGTTCTGTGAAAGTTCTTTCATTTCTTCCAAAATCTGATGTCTTGCATTCTAAGACCCAGACCTCAGAGCACTTTCCCTCTCTGGAATGCTCAGGGGCTCTTGGATTCCATGTAACTATGGGGGGTTTTCAGCATCTCAGCCTTCCATCAATACCCCATCTCCAACACAGGTACCCAGAGAAGTCATTGAGACTACTGATGCTGATGGCACGGCCAGGAGCTGCGTAGTCCAGGGCCATTGAGTAAGGAACCACTGGACATTGTCATGGATAGACAAAGGTAGAGTGGCTGGACCAGGCTGAGGTCACAGCACATGCTCCTAATGAGAAAATTCTCTTCGTGAGAGTGGAGGCCTCAGTTTCCGCCAGCTGTTACTCTGCCCTCCCAGAGACCATAGCTCTGCCTCATCCATGATTTCACTTCCCACAGTTTCAGCCTGTCATAGTTGACAGCAGTCTGAAAATGTTAAATGGAAAATTCCAGAAATAAGCAATTGATAAGTTTTAAATTGTGCACCATTCTCACTAGTGTGATGAAATCTCTCCCTGCCCACTCCATCCTACCCTCATCGTGAATCATCCCTTTTCCCAGAATATCCACACACTGTATCCATCTGCCCGATATTCACTTACATGACAGGGTTATTACATCCATTGTTGCTGTATTGCAGCAATTGTGTTCAAGTCACCCTTGTTTTACTTAATCGTGGCCCCAAAATGCAAGAGTAGTGATGATAGCAATCTGCATATGCTAAAAAAAGCCATAAAGTGCTTCCTTCAAGTAAAAAAGTAGACAGAGGTACCACATTCACATGACTTTTGATATAGTGTACTGTTACAACTGTTATTATTAATCTGTTACTAATTTATAAATTAGACTTCATCATAAGCTTTATCATATGTATGTATATATAGCAATATATATATTTATATGTGTGTGTGCGTGTGTGCATGCATGCGTGCGTGTGTGTATGTGTGTGTGTGTGTGTAACAGTCCTGAAGAAGAGAAGGAACAGAGCTTTCAGAAGGTAGGCGCTTGTCCACCTGTATCCAGTTGGCCAGAACTCAGTCACATGCCATACCTACCTGCAAGAATGACTGGGAATTGTAGTTTAGCTGTGTACTAGACTGTACACAAGAAGCCAAAGTTTGGTGAACATCAGCCACATTGAGCCATGTGATCCAGTAGTTTCTTCCTGCATCTACTCTGGCCCCTACACAAGCTCTTCTTCCTAAGCAGCCAGGAAACCTGAATTTCTAACAAGTGACACTTAAACTCTTCCTCCCAGAACTGCATGATGGTCTGCTAGGATGACCAACTGTCTCGGTTTGCCAAGTCTGGGATGGTTTCCTGGGCTGCTTTGTCCTTTCACATAGCTTGACATAAACTCTACCAGTCCAGTTATTTAAAAGTGCCACTGTCATAAGATTCCTGCATGGTACCCACACTGTGCCCTTTACGGCTCCACTCTTCCTCTCCCTTTCTAACCCTAAGCCCTAGCAACCAGTCATCTGTTCTCAATCTCTATAATTATGTTGTTATGCAAATATGAAGTGCAATTGCATAGTATGTAACCTTTTGAAATTGGTTTTCTTAACTCAACATAATTTCAATGAGAGTCATTCCATGTTTTGCATGCATTTATAGTTCATTGCTTCTTACTGCTGAGCAGTCTTCCATGGTATGGATGCATCAGAGTCTACTTAGCCATTCACCCACTGAATGGTATTTAGGTAATTTCCAATCATTGGTTATTAAGAATGCAGATACCACATCTCCAAGTGTGTGGACTTTTGTATGTCCTCTTTGGTGATGTATGTACATCTTTTGCAAATTCTAAATTAGATTTTTTAAATTTTACTGTTGCATTTTGAGAGTTGTTTATATATCCTAGATACATGTCTTTTGTTGAGTATGCGATTTGCAAATACAGCATTTTCTCTTGGTCTGTAATTTGTCTTTTCATTCTCTTACCAGAGTCTTTCACAGAACACAGAGTTGTTTAATTTTGATTAAATCTACTTTAACAGATTTCCCTTTTTATGGATCATGATTTTAGTGTCCAAGTTCGAGTTCCAAATTTCAAAGGTTTTTGCTTATTTTTTATAAGTTAAATAATTTTGCATTCAAGTCAGTGCTCCATTTTGAATTAATTTTGTGTAAGGTGTGAGGTTTAAGTCAAGGTTCAATTATTACCTATGAATTTTCAGTTGCTCCAGTGTCATTTGATATAGAATATATCCTACCGCACTGAGTTGCTTTTACTCCTTTGTGCAAAATAATTGAGCATATTTGCATAGATCTGTTTTGGGGTTATCTAATCTTTCCAGTTGTCTGTGTACCTACCTGTTAGCCAAGACTTCACTTTCTCAATTATCGCAGCTGTATAATAAATCTTGAAATTGATCAGAATAAGCCTTTCCATTTCATTTTTATTTTTTGAAATTAATTTAGCTATTCTAATTCATTTGACTTTATATATAAATTTTATAATTACCTTGTTTATATCTACAGAAATATTGCTGGGAGTTTGATCAGAATTGTTCTAAGCACATATAGGAATTTTGGCAGAAGTAACAACCTTATTACACTGAATATTCCAATTCACAACACAGCATGTCTCCTCATTTACGTGCATCTTCGCTGATTGTTTAAAATCAATGTTTTGGCACACAAATCCTGCATGC